TATTCTTATCCATACTTACAAGGTTTGGAAGGAGTGAGATCCAATTAATTTATACCAGCACCTACCTAGCTACTTCATGACTTCATGTACTACTCCCCCCTTTCAAAAGTACAGATTTGACATTTTAGTCTCTAATGTTTGACCAAAGTTTTTATAATTTTTATTTATTTATTTTAATAATTGTGTAAAATTTATTACTCCATAAAAGATACTTCCTGTTTATATTATTTAAATATATTATTTAAAATTTACATCAAAAGATCTTTAAAACAAGAAAAATACTCCCTCCGTCCCATAAAGTGTTACCCATTTTGACTAAAGTTGAAATTAAGGGAGGGATAATTTTGTGTTGACTTTCCAAAAATACCCTTGATGTGATGGGTAAAAGTAGGATGTGATGTGTAGATTATTAGGAAAAAGGTATGATGTGATAGGTAGGGTTTGAAAAAGTAAGGGGTAAAAGTGGTTTTTTAATAGAAATGGGTAAGGGATTGTGGGACACAATTTTTTTGAAACGTGTAAATCTTTTTGAGACAGAGGGAGTATTTCTTTCCATTTTTGTCCATCACAAAAATATATTCTCCTTTTCAACTAATTGTGTCTTTGAGCATTTGTTTAGTTTTATTTTTTACAATCAAAATTGATTAACTTTGACCACTAATAACATAAAATTGATATATATTAGATAATGAAATAAAAATGTTATTACATTTAGTTAATAAAATTTTTGAAAATATTAATTTATATATGTAACTAGTATATCATAACATTTTTATTTAATTCAAGATCAAAAATTGATAGTTTTTTACCGTAAAATGTCAAATCTAGACAAATATTCAGGAAGAAAGGTAGTAATTTAAAATAATTATACCTATGAATTTTTTTTTCAACACATTTTAAAACTTTAGGCTAAGAAAGTCATTTAGGAATTTGTTTTACGAGACAGAGTGAATCTATATGTAAGAAGAAAAGAAATAATATTGAAATCGTAAATACTCCCTCAATCCCAATTTAATAGTTAACATTTGGTTTGACAAAGATTGTGAAATAATGACATTTTGTGGTTGAAAGTGAAAGAGAGAAAAAGAAAAATATGAGCAACAAAAATTTACTCTGTATTATTTTTTCGGGACATCTCAAAAAAGAAAAAAGGATTACTAGTTTGGAGAGAATAAGTAGTAAACGTAGAAGATGATTTCAGTAATTAAGGAAGTTTGAGAAACTATAAACCCATTGTATTAGCGTATTAAGGTATGCTACAAATTAAACTTAGGGTCCGTTTGGTACACAGAATTGATGGAATTGAAATTGAATTGGAATTAAAATTCTATGGGATTCAATTCCATAGAATTGATTTCACCAATTCCAATTCATTTTTTGTACTACCAATTCCAAATCCACATAATTTTTGTGGTACCAAACACGAGAATTGGAATTGAAGTCTTCAATTCCAATTCCATAGTTTGAATTCCGTCTACCAAACGGGCCTTATGGTATGTTTGGGAATATGGATTTGGATTTCAAATCCGGATTTGGCTCAAATTCCATGTTTGGAAAACTTAAAAATTTTGAATCTGGATTTGAGTCAAATTCTTCTCATTCATAATAAAGTTTAATTTAAAATCAATGCACCTCCCCTTGTCATTTGAAATTTAAGATTTCAAATTTTGGAATTGAAATGAAATGCTAGTTGCCAAACACTACCTTATTGTTTTTCATATATGTGTGTGCATTTATATACTTCCTTCATCCCTTAAAGTTGTTCCCATTTTGACTTTTATGAGAATTAAGGAACTGATATTTTTGTATTATTGGTTTTCCAAATACACCCTTAATGTAATGACTAAAAATAAGATGTGATAGATAGATTTTTAGTAAAAAAACATGATAATAGATAAGGTAAAAATTAGTAAATATAAAATAATTTTTTAATAAAAATGAGAAGAATTTTATGGGACAAAGAAAAAACGGAGAGAGAAGGAATTTTTGGGAGGAAGGGTGTATATACTACCATCGCTTCCTGCGCCATTGGCATCCCCGTACCATGTTGCGCTGGCGGCAGACCAAACAGCTGAGGTTAATTCAGATTTGGGTTTTGAGATATTAAACACTTTAGGATTGAAGCAATCGCACGAAATTGCAAGAATACAAAACACGGCGGCGACGACGAGGAAATGCATGAGTTGAGCCATGATTATATTATGTTTTCAAAACTTAATAATTAAGGCTTTATATATGTATAGCTCGGTATAGGTGAGAATGCAAAGGATCGGAGGGTTTAATTTGATGAAGGAACTTACGTTGCATGCAAGCTCTTTTTATAGAGAGAGAGAGGTAGTACATGCCAACGCTAATTAAGCCAGTAATAATTGAATATGTTTTTCATTTTAGTTTTAAAAAACAAACATTTAAACGATATGTGATGCTCCATCAAGACTTTATTTAAATTATTAAAAAAGAAAAATAGCGGGTAGAAATTAAACTAACAAATAGATGGACATCAGAGACAACCTAACGAAGTGTGTATTGACTTATGGAATGTGTGTTATTACAATTCTAGACATTTTGTTTTAACGTGAGACATACCTATGTACTCAGCCCTTTGGTGAGATATATACTTCTTCATCCCTAAAAATCTTCAATCCTTTAAATTTCGGAAAAATTTATACGAATACTCCCAAAATACGACTTTTAACGAAAATACTCCCAAATTTGATAATTAACATCATTGCTCTCAACTTTTTTATATTATCACGTCATTACTCTCACTTGCCCGGTCATGTCATACGTGAAAAAACATGACTTACATTTTGAATACTCTTTTTCCATTTTAATTTTATTAAAAATGAGAGCCTTATTAAACCTTCTTCATGTGCACCGTGTTTGTACTCAATTCTTCCTCTCATATTGCATTTTTCATCTCTTTCATAATGTTTTTTTTCAATTAATTAATTTTCCTTATAAATTTAAAATGTTTATTAACACTTCATCTATTATAAATTAACAGTTTGGGTTTGATTCTCTACAGAGTTTGATAAAATAAAATTATATAATTGAAAAATGATGTAAATAGAGTAATTACCTATACCAAAAAAATATAGTTAAATAAAATTTAGTTTTTTAAAAAAATAAAAAGACTAAAGACTCCAATTTTTAATAAATTTAAAATGAAAAAAAATACTCAAACTAAAAGTCGGTTTTTTCCCACTTAGGAGCTAGCTGACCGGGGCAGCAGGAAGTAATGAAGCGAAAATATAAGAGAGTTGGAGAAAAAGTGTTAATTATGAAATCTGGGAGTGCTTTCGTAAAAATCCGTATTTTTTGGAGTATTCATATTTATTTTTTGTTAAATTTTTATTAGTCTCAAAAAAGTGTTTCATTTTATGATTAAAAAATAAATCCAAACTTTACTAATTCTTACCCAACCAATTACAATTTAATATAGTTGTTCACCATTCATTAATAATCTTTACATCATATTTTTACCGTTACTTAAAAGTCAATGCACATAAAGGATTTTAGAGAGAAAGGATTATATATATATATATATATATATATATATATATATATATATATATATATATATATATATATGCAATAATGCAACGCAAAGGCGACACTTGAAAGCCCAAGACAACAAACTGCCTAAATGGTCCTTCCCCTTAACAAAATAGAGTTAATGTCGTTGGAGCCAATGGCCCTCATATATATAATTATTTTTTATAAAATAAAAATAACTGCTTTTATATGTACATAAAATTTTATGGTATTTTATTGAAATTATATTCACTTAAATTTATTTTGTTAGTCAATTTGTAATTAAAATAAAACTAACATATCGAGAAGTACATTAAAATTTTTATAAGATAATGATATTTTTATTTTTCTTTATATATTTCGTATAATATTCAAAAATATTATAATGAATTTTTTGGGGACACGTACTCCGTATTCGAATTATTTCTATGTCACTCTTTATTATTATTATTTAATTATTTATTAATTATATTTTTATATTTCTTTTGTTATTATTTATTTTTATTTGTTATTTTATAATGATTTTTTTATTTTATCATTATTTATTTATTTATTATTACTTTTTATTTGTTGTTTACTTTTATTATTATTATTATTATTATTCATTCTTTTGTTTTAATTTTATTATTTGCTTAATGTCAAGGTGAAGAAAGAATTGATGGAAAAAGAAGGGGACAGGAAGGAGGAGAATCCTTCCAATTGGGACAAATTAATTTGGATGGAGGAAAAGGAAATTGAAACTGAAATTTTTAATCCTCCTTTATGTTTTTAAATCAAACAAGGGGTCTGACAATGGAGAAGACTGTTCATGTGCCATCCGTTCTCTTAAGCAAACGGTGGGGGAAGGTGGTGCAGAGTAAAATAATATCTTTGTTTCCGTGTATTCGTCAATTTTAATTTTTATGAGTCAAAATAGATAAATTTTAAACTTCAATTAAATAAAAATTGTACTATATATTACAGAGTAGTATAAAATAATTTCATTATATTGTGAACTTAAACTTTTGTTTTATTGTAGTAACATTCAATACAAATTGAGATTTGAGAGTAATTAATAATTTAAATTTGCGTCAAACCGTAAGAATAAACTACAGTCGAGGGAGTATTTAACAGGGTAGTTTACATATTCTATCAATAAAAACTTACACAGATAATTTACTTTAAAACGGAAAAAAAACATGCAATTTAAATTGATACAAATAAATAACATATATATGAAATTTGTGTTTCTTCAAAATATGTACTTATAAAAGTATTAAAAATTTAGAATAAATAAATAAAAAGGAGGAATGTAAGTTAACATAAAAAAGAATACTAAGAAATGTAGTCATGTTGTAGAATTTTGCGAGTACATTAATTAGGTTTCGTAATACACTACGATACATGTAACATTGGCTTCCAATGTCATAATATAGCCCGAGCCTCATCATATGAAACCTTGTTGGTAAATTGATAACTTCTAGTCCCCTAACTCCACCCTAACTCACCCTCCCCCCATCCCGTCCTCCTCCTGCACCCACCCCAGCACCCCCACCCTGTCCCCCTCCTGCATCCCCTCACCCCTCACCAATTTCCTTAACTGATTGGCTACAATGACCACTCTCCCCAATCGGCGAAGGAGAGAAGGGCCAAGGGGTGGGGTACAGGGTTTAGAGGGGGTTAGAAGAGTAAGAATCATTAATTTTACTAACAGAATCTCGTATGAGGCTTGAGTCATAGTGTAACACTAATCTCGATGTATATGAATTGACCCGTTCATAATATATTCACATGTTTTGTTGGATTTCAAAGAGGAAGAGCACTGCGAAGCAGTGTTAAACGAAGAACTCGATAGTATAACGAATCACGTACGAAACGCTTTCAGATCAAAGTTATTTCGGGGTATATGAAATACTTCAATCGGATAAGACGTTAATTAAGAACAAGCACTCGAAAATCTATATGCAATCCATACCACGAGACTCTATTTTATAGAGTCTAAAATTTCCATGATCGGACATAATCCTTCGCATAGACATACGCGTACGTTCGCGCGGGAAGAAGATAGGCACGAGTTTGAACGAAGAGTCTCCTGCGGTTTTAGAGTATATTTTGACGTTTATCCACTAGTTCGAGTCCTTTAGCGTTTTGGACTCCGATCACGAAAATATTAAGGATTTTCATAAAGAAATAACGTCCGAAATAAAAAATTTCCAAGCTGTCCAGCTCGACCCCGGCCAGGGGCTTTTCCCCTTGGACCCCGCCAGGGGGTTTGCCCCTTGGACCCCACTACCCGGCGGCTGCCGCCCCCGGACCCCCGCAGTGAATTTGTAATATCGATGAACGAGCGCGCACTCTGCACCTCCTAACTCGTTTGGCAACGTCTATTAAAATTCTTGTCCGATCTAAGTAAATCCAATTTACACAAAATAAACCGATTACACTAAAATCACCAACAATCCTCCCCTATTTTAGTGTAATCCATGACTTACTTCTTGAGATAATAGATTCAACAAACTTATGCATAAATGAAAATGTCGCGACGATTGAATTTTCATCTTAGTATATTACACATTCCAAATATTCAAATTTCGGGGTGTCTTTAAGGATTGAACCCTTGGAATTCATATGAATACATGAATATAATATACACATAAACTGTAAGTGCTTCTTTGTTCCAAGCTTGACACCGTATTTTACTAGCCTTGTGTCCCTATCCTTCAACGAGCATATAAAAGTAAAGTCCAAACTTTGTGAAGCGGCTAAACTTCATACTCGTATAGGTAGTTCTTTTATGTCTTGTACCTGCACATACAATTTTTCAAAAGAACTATTAAGAAGATTAACTTCAACCTCTTCAACTTGCAGTTCTGAACACATACCTTTGGATGATGCTAATGTTGTGTTCCAATCTCTAGATGTTAAGCTTTCCACATTGAATTCTACACCTAACGTCATATTAGGTGGGAATTGGGTATCTTAACACGAGAGATATCAAACGGACTTTAATCCCATCCCTTTAGCCGATTTTTGCATGAGATCTCTTCTTAACCCTTTAGTTAAATTATCGGCTAAATTGTGTTGAGTTCTAACAAACTCAATCGATATCACACCATTTTTGATCAAATCACGGATCATGATATGTCTAACACCCATGTGTCTAGACTTACCATTATAGACTTGGCTATATGCCTTAGCCAAAGTAGCAGCGCTGTCACATCTTATAGATATTGGTGATATTGGTTTAGGCCACAATGGAATCTCATATACCAAATTCCTTAACCATTCAGCCTCTTTGTCGGCCGATGCTAAAGCAACAAATTCAGATTCCATTGTTGATGTAGTGATGCAAGTTTGTTTCTTTGATCCCCACGAGATTGCTCCTCCGCCTAGTAAGTAAACCCATCCACTAGTAGAGGAGAAATCTTCCATATTAGTGATCCAACTTGCATCCGTGTATCCTTCAAGAATTGGTGGATCTCCATTGTACACCAAACTATAATTCATAGTTTTCTTTAAGTACTTGAATACTCTCCGTATAGCTTGCCAATGATGTGTACCAGGATTGCTAGTAAACCTACCAAGCTTTCCAACGGCATATGCTATATCCAGTCTTGTGCTAACCATGGCATACATTAAGCAACCAATAGCCCTTGAGTATTCAAGTTGAGACATGGCCTTTCCTTGATTAGCTAAAAGTTTAATGTTTGGATCCATAGGGGTGTTAACCGGAGAACAATTTTCAAAATTGAATTTCTTCAAAAAAATTTCAATATAA